TCATCAATATGTACAACTTTTATTTTGATCATATTTTCATTTGACCAAATTTGAACAGTTGAAATTTTGAATTTCACTAAATGGCAACTTCAAACAAGATTTTGAAACCTTAAATGATTTCAACAATAAAAGTCGTAAACATAAAAGTTGTTGAAATCCTCACTATCTACAACTTTTATTTTGGTCACTTCTTCATGTGACAAAGTATTAGTAAACATTGTTCATAAATTCACATATGACTCATAGTTTCATGAACTATATGAGAAACATGTTGATTTGTGAACAATGTTTACTATCACTTTGTCAGATGAAGAAATGATCAAAATAAAAGTTGTAGATCTTGATGAGTTATACAACTTTGGTATTCATAACTTTTTCAGCTGAAATCATTTAATGGTTGAAAATCTCGTTCGAACTTGTCATTTTTTTTAAATTTGAAAATTTGAAGTGCTCAAACTTTGTTAAATGAAAAGAATGACCAAATCAACACACTAACTTGATAGGGCAAGATTTTAGAAAATTTTAGGAAAAAAATCATCACATTTGGAGTTAGTATGAGGGAGAAAAACTAGTTATAAATTTTACCCAGAGATTAAAAAGAAAAATCACAGCTGTTCATGATGATCAATGATGAACAAGTGTAATTTTCTAAAATCATGCTCTATCATTTTAATCTAGTCATCTATCTTTATCACTAATTTTGAACAATTCAAATTTTAAATTTCAGAAAATGATAGCTTTAAACCTGATTTTCAAACACTAAATGATTTCAGCTGTAAAGGTGATGAATATAAGAGTTATATAACTCATCAAGATCTCATACTTTTATTTTGGTCATTTCTTCATTTCATAAAGTGTTAAGTGATTTTATAAAGTTTTAGTAGTAATAGAGTGGATGTTCAAATAGAGTCATCTGGATGTTGTAAAGGGTAGTCTCACACATATGCATAAATGTAGTCTCACACACATACAAAAATATGTAGTCTTACACACGTACATAAATATATAGTCTCACACGCATGCATAAATAAAGTCTTACAAACACACACTTACACAAACACTCCACGTTCAACAACTAGCTAGCCCAGTGTAACGACTTTCCCCTTGACACCTTTTCGTTCCCATGGCAATATGTCTTTGGGGAGGTTCTTTTCCACAACACTGATCTTCTTAGGAAAGTCTGTGAATAACGGCATCTCATCGTAGTTATTGTAAGCTTCAACATCGTCCACACCATCAACTCCAATAATGTGCTGTTTCCCGGAGGCAACCACGTGCTTTGTCTTCTTCTTCGAGGGGGAGGTTACTTTGTGGGTTAGACATATAGAAAACTTGTGCGACACGTGAAGCGAGCACCCAAGGGTCATCTTGGTAGCCTAGATTCTCGAGGTTCAGGACTCTTAATCCGATCTCGTTCAGTTGGTGTTGTTTGATCCAGTGGCATCGAAACAGGGCCACCGTTATATCCCTTCCATAGTCAAGTTCCCATATCTCTTCAATGATGCCAAAGTATTGGATCTTTCGCCCTAATCCATCGAGAGCCTCTATTCGAACGCCACTGTTTTGGTTCACATATTTACTATCCTTTGCGTGGGTATAGTACGTATACCCATTGATGTCATAAGCATTCCAAGATGTCACTTGTCTCGATGGCCCCTTTGCCAACCTACTGATGGTAATAGAGTCTATGGTTTCTCCAGGCGGTATGTTTTGGTCCTTCAACCATGTAGTTAGTCGTTGCTTGTGTTGTTTCATGACCCAATCATCCGAACGGCCATTTCTCTCCGCCATAATGATAGCCAAGTGTTCATCAATATACGGTTGCATCAGTTCTGTACTCTGCAAGACACTGTAATGCGCCCGACTGACCTCTTTGTAATCATGGTCGATGAACACTTTTCTACCACTGGTGCCCTTCCCAGCCAGCCTACCCTTGTGACGAGAATCGGGTTTACCAATCCCTTTCTGTACTTTTAGGTACTCTTGACAGCACTCGATGACTTCTTCAGTACTATAACCCTCTATCATGGAGCCCTCTGGGTATGCTCGATTATGCACGTATCGACTTAGAACCGACATAAATCGCTCATAGGACCACATTTCATGCAAGTAGCAAGGGCCAAGCGCCTGTATTTGATGAACCATGTGAATCATGAGATGTGGCATTATATCAAAAAAAGCAGGAGGTAAACACATCTCCAGTTGTTTTTGTGTCTTCACCACAAATTCATGTAGGTCACTCAGCTCTTGCTTGCCAATCGTCTTCTATGAGATCTTTGAAAAGAAGTAGCACATGCGGGTGATGGCCATTTTCAAGAACTCTAGCTTTATAGCCCTGATTGTAATAGGTAGAAATATTGTCAGCATCACATGACAATCGTGAGCCTTGCAGTGTGTTATTGACAAGTTCTTCATCGACATTAGCTTCTTCACATTCGCTGAAAACCCAGTCGGGACTTTGACCCCCCTCAGGAAAGTACATATAGCTCTCTTCTCTTCGAGTGTTAGGTTGAAGCACGCCGCGGGCAGAGTGTATTTTCCATTAGCCTTAGGTACCGGGTGAAGCTGTGGCATCACGTTTAGCTGCACCATGTCTTTCCGTGCTTTCAGACCATCCTTTGACTTACCTGTGTCCATCAAGGTAGCAATGAGACTCTCAAAGGCATTCTTCTGCACGTGCATATCATCAATGGCATGGGGGACCTCTAAGTCTAGCCAATAAGGCAGATACTGAAAAAAGATCGATTGTTTCTTGAAAGGTACGCCTTCGACAGGAGGTGTGCTTCGATTGTTTCTTGATCGGTTGGGGCATGCATGGATTTTTTCAACCCCCATTGTCAATGGACTTATGACCTTCTTCGCTTGGTATGTGTTGGTGGGAACTGAGTTTGGTTGTGGCAGCACCCATGATAGGAGATGCAATAGATCATTGAAACTACAGTCTGACCAGTCGTACTTAGCCTTCAGGATGAGCAGCTCAGGCACAAAACGTAGCAATGTCCAATGTATCAGACAACCCTTTTCAACACCATACACAGTCTCCTTTGATGCTTTTGTTACCCTTTCCAAATTTTCTAGACCTTTCGGGCTATTTAGTAAAATCTCTAGTCCAAGGGCTCGAATCATGTCCTCCAAATCATCTTCATCCCCGACACGTGCTCCACCATCATTATTGGCACCACCTTCATCGTTACCATCCCAACCACCAGCATCACCACCTTGTTCATAGCCAAACTCGAAATCCATTCGTGCATCAAGCTCTGCTGAATATTGGGACAGGGATTCTATGGTTTCGTCGTCGTATTCCTCCTTATCCTCGTCGTTAACAATAACCGTTTCACCATGATGAATCCACACTGTGTAGTCCTCAACAAATCCTCGCATAATCAAATGTGATCTGATGATAGTCACATCTATCCATGCCATACGGTTCTTACAATCTTTACATGGGCAAATAATTGTATCCTTATTCTCTTTCAATGTCGTTGCATGCTTCTTTGCGGCTTCAATAAATTTATCCACCTCTTCACGGAAACCTACCTTGAACCTTAACGAACCATACATCCAAGAGTTCATGTACTCCATCTTTTACAACAACAACAACAAAACAGACATTAAAGGAGTACTTATTCAGATATATATAAAAATAAAACAAATTAATAATTACTTGAGAATAATTGTATATACTTTAGATATATATGAATATAAATCTATTATAATTACATGAAGCATACAAACACACCATGGTAAAAGAAAATTAATTAATAGCCCATTTATCCATAAATAATTAAAATACATATTTATTGATTACAATAAATAATTTCAAAGACAACAATTAGCAAGAATTATACTTTACCCAATATCTTTCATACAAACCCTAGTTCAATTTCATCAAACATAAATTTACAAAAACAAAATTAATAAAAAAACCAAACCCTAGATCTAGATCCACATGCACATGAAACATCCATAAAACTAACTAATTGTTCAATAAAATCAAGAAACATGGACCAAATAAGGGTATGATCTTGTTCCCCTCCCTAATTTACCCTAGTACATTCAAAAGTTGGGTCTAATTTGCTTCATAAATAGCTCAAACACCATAGAAGAGAGAGAAAAACAAAACTCTAATTACTCACTAACCAACCATTAAAACTTCAAAAAAAAATATGGAATAGCATTTTCTTACCTTCTACAACCTTTCCACCAAAGGATTTGAGACCAAAACCTTGCCCCCCTTATTAGAGCAATTTTTGGGAGGTGCCCAAGGCCTCCCCACCTTTTTTCACGGGTTGGAGTGAGTGACCCGAGAAGGAAGAAGGTGATGCATCTGTTTTATATGGGGGGGCATTTATAGGGGCGGCTGGTGATTGAGCCGCCCCTACAAATCGGTGCTATAAATACGGGGCCATTTGTAGGGGCGGCTCAATCACCAGCCGCCCCTACAAATAGCATTTCCAGGGGTGGCTGGTGATTGAGCCGCCCCTACAAATCAGACCCCATTTGTAGGGGTGGCTCATAACACCAGCCGCCCCTGCTGTTCCATTTGTAGGGGTGGCTGGTGTCTGGGCACCCGAGCACGCCACTGTAGGGGCGGCTCCATCACCAGCCGCCCCTACAAAAAAATTGAACCGTTGCTAAAAATTGTTTTCTATGTAGTGTGGGTCTCTCATCCTGGACAACAACAACGCACGCAGCAGTCCGCCGCGCCGCCACCTACACACCACTAGGCTCCTAGATCTGACAAAGGCGGCGACGAGCACCGATGTCCACACGATGGCGGGGAGCAGCGTCGTCGTGAGACGGCGGTGGCCGCAGCAAAGGATGACGAGGGCAAGAAGGCCGCTGATGCCGAGCCAGGGAACGAGGAGGAGGCGGCGGCCGGGGCAGGCATGGTGACAGAGGCATCCTAGATCGACTACGTCATCTTGTACAAGAAGGACCAAGCGCTCCTGGCTCCAAAGCAGGAGCGCAAGGCCGACGAGCCGACGACGGTGGCTATGATCACCAAGGAGACGGTGGCAGACTCTTTCATCGATATTCTCAGGAAGAGACGTCCCTTCAAGAAGTATCCTCCTATGACCGATAGGTATTCCAACCTCCTCTCCAAGTACGACCCCAAGCTGTGCGAACTCTCCCTAATGGATAGGGCGAGAAGGAATTGTCGCGTCGATCTGCATGCGGATGTCCTGAGGCAGTACACGGAGAAGGGCTTCGCTGAGGCCGGCGTCGACTTCACCGACGGCGTCAAGAAGATCTTCGTCCTTCCCCAGCCCCAGCAACAAGTGATATGATGATGCAGTAGGGTAACGACTACGGTGGAGGAAGGAGTAAAACGACACTAGGATTTGTTAGTGGTTTTGCTATCGTGTTTGCGTTATTAGTGGTTTTGCTATCTTGTTTGCTGCTGAGTCGTGTTAGCGTGCAAGGTTAGTTAATTAGCTAGCCTCTATGGTATTGGATTGGACCGCCACCCTAATGTGTACATATTATTGTGCTAATAAAGTTGGATCTATTTAAATAATCTCTACTATAGGATTTCTTTTTCGCAGCGTTTGGCATTTGGGCTCCAAGGCGGGCGGCCTGATTGCCATCCTTGGTTATTTGAGGCTGGGCGGCCAGGCCCGAGGCAGGCACTTTAATGTAACCGCCACGGTTAATACTAATTAACCGAGGTGGTTACCCTAACGCAACCGCCAACCGCCTCGGTTAATCATTGTTAACCAAGGCGTTTGCTTTAAGGCAACCGCCTCGTTAATATATTAATCGAGGCGTTTGCTATAAGACAACCGTCTCGGTTAACAGACGATTAACCGAGGCATTTTCTTTACAATGCCCGCCTCGATTAAGTCTGGGCTATAAATACAGCCGCACCCACCCTTCTTCCCCGTGGCTCCTCCTCCTTTTTTAGGGTTTTGATCTCAAAACCCTAAAAGTGTCCATTTTCAAGGGGGAGAGGTTTTGCCCTTGGATTTGTTGAAGGGGGCACTGCAGCAGGTTGATTCTCGCTCCTAAACCCTCAATCCTCTCTCTTTTCCATGATTTGGGTGCTTTTTCTCAAGATCTAGATCTAGATCTATTTGGAGGAGAGAGAAATCATCAGATCTAGAGCTACCCAGCTATCTTTTTTCTATACTGACTGTGCTTATATGCGCCATTTTTGTTGTTTGTGTCTGCAAGGTGTAAGCGGTCATGGACAGGGAATGGATGTACAAGACATCGAGGCTAAATCCAGCTTTCCTAGAACATGTGACAAAGTTTATTGCCGCTGCTAAAAGGCATCGTCTGAGTCTGAAGCGGGAACTCACCATCTATTCGTGTAAGAGCTGCAAGAACCTTTATGCCCAGGGAGATGACACGGTGAAATCTCACTTGGTCCGGTATGGTTTCATCAAGGATTATACCATATGGAAGTTTCACAAGAAGCAGAGAATCCGAGTGCCAGTGCATCTAGAGGAGGGAGCTCGTCGACGGCGACGACGACGGCGGTGAATGCCGAACAACAAACCTCATCAGCAGGGGCCGACGAACATGACAATGCTGCTACTAGCGACAATGCAGATCATGGTTACATCATGATGGATGATCTGCTCCAAGACACGGCTAACGACGATGATGGGGATGGCGGTGAGCTAGTGAGGGATCTCGAGACTGCGGACCTTTTTGAGTCAATCACTAACCGTCTTGACCACGACAACGTTCTATTTGGGAGCCCAAGGTGGCTGGAGAATTTCTGAGAGATGAAGCAGGCGGCAATTGATCCCCTCTATAAGGACTGTCCAAAGCACTGGATGGAGCTGCGTTTTAACCTCTAGATGCTGATGCTAAAGGCTCGCCATGGCTGATCCGACACTAGCATCAATGACCTATTATGTATCCTTGCTGACACATACCCAAAGGGTAACAAGGTTCCCGCCAATACCTACCGAGCGAAGAAGCTGATCCGGCCAGTGGCGATGAAGCTTAAATAGTTTCACGCCTGCCCTAACCACTGTATCCTATATCGGGGCAAGTATGAGAACTTGCAGAGCTGTTCGCACTGTGGTGTGAGTCGGTACAAGAGGAATGTCGGTTGTCGTGCGGATGCCGGCGATGAGAGAGGGCCGAAGAAGAAGAAGACAGCCAAGAAGAGTACCACGAAGAAGCAGATCCCATCTCCTGAGGACGAGGAAGAAGAAGAGGAAAAGTCCGGCCCTGTCGATGTGGTACCTACCCATGATCGATCGCCTGTGTGCTATATTTGGGAACCCCGAGGATGCCAAGCCGATGTCCTGGCATGCATCTGATAAGCGCACGAAGGACGATGGCAAGCTGCAGCACCCTTTCAATGGCAAGCAGTGGAAGCATTTCAACGCCAAGTTTCGGAGGTTTGGCGACGAGGCGAGGAACGTTAGGTTTGCACTGAGTACCGATGGGATGAATCCATTCAGTGACCTCAGTAGCTCGCACAACACTTGGCCGGTCATCCTCACCATCTACAACCTACCTCCCTGGTTATGTCAGAAGCGCATGTATCTTTTACTAACCATGATTATTTCTAGACCTAGGCAGCCAGGCAATGATATAGATGTGTTCCTAGAGACGCTCATGGAGGACATGAAGATACTATGGGAAGATGGGGTCAAGATGATGGATGCATCCCTAAAGAAAGAGTTCACTCTAAAAGCCATCATCTTTGTCAACATCACCGATTACCCTGGTCTTTTTTCACTGTTAGGGCAGATCAAAGGTAAGTCAGGTTGTGTAGTTTGCATTGACGGTACCTGCTACACTTACCTTAGTGCATCCAAGAAGATGGTGTACATGTGGCATGGGCAATTCCTCGTCAAAAAGCATAGGTACCGGGCAGCCACGATGAATAAAAACTTCAACAACCAGGAGGAGCCAAAACTGATGAGCCGGAAAGGACAAGGTACGGGCAAAAGGTGTTTGACATGGTGAAGGGCATAGACGTTGAGTTCGGGAGGAAGAAGAAAGAGGAAGATGGGACCACGACAAAGGAAGAGGAAGCGGGATAAGATGGAGGAACCACCTGTCACCCTCGTTCCTTTCAAGAAGTAGTCGTGTTTCTTCAAGTACCTGTCATACTGGAAGGAGCTAGATACACCCCATGCCATCGACTGCATGCACCTCGAGAAGAATGTCTTCGAAAGAACCATTAGTGTACTGCTAGACATCAAGACTAAGACGAAGGATGGTCTAAAGTCATGGATGGATCTTGTCAACCAGGACATTAGGTCCAAAATTCAGTCGACAACGGCGACGCAGAGCGGGGAAGTCGACCTTCCGGGCACGAGCTACAACCTGACGAGAGATGAGAAGAGGGCTGTGTGCCAGTGGCTTAGGGGTGTCAAGGTGCCAACCGGTTTCTCTTCCAACATCAAGAGCCTGGTCTCGATGAAGGACCTCACACTAACCAACTTCAACACACATGCCTGCCACGTCATGCTCACGGTGTTCCTTCCAATTGTTATCAGGGCTATCAGTCCAGAGTACGTGAAGATGGTCATCACACGCATGTCCTACTCTTCAACTGCTTCACACGGAAGGTCATCAATGAAGCTAAGCTGCCTGGCCTGAAACAGTTCATCGTGGAGACCCTTTGCCAGCTCAAGATGTGCTTCTTGCCATCTTTCTTCGATATTATGCCACGCCTGATGATGCACATGGTTGATCAGATACAAGAACTGGACCTCATGTACTTGCACCAGATGTGGACATACGAGCGGTTCATGTCGACCCTCAACAAATACGTCCTTAACTGTGCCTACCCAGAGGGCTCTATGATCGAGGCATACACAACTGAGGAGGTCGTTAACTGCTGCACCAGGTACATCCGAGATGGAAGGGTGATTGGCTTGCCCGTCCCTTAGCACGAAGGCAGAACCTCAGGAATGGGTTGCATGGGGAGGAAAGTATGCACCGATGTACAGTATGAAATAGTGCAAGAAGCTCATCACAGCGTCCTCAATCAGCTAGCGGTTATGGAACCATATGTTGACAAGCAGGAGATCCACGCTGCTAATGACGGACAACGCATGGAGGCATGGGTCTAGAAACAACACAAGATCAGTTTCATGACGTGGATCAAAGAGCTACAGGACATACCCCATGGAGAGTCTGATGAAGCGAGGCTTGCGTCCGGCCCATCCACCCAAATCACCACGTGGCAAGGGTATGACATCAATGGATACAGGTTCCACACAAAGGAGAAGGACAAGAAGAGCGCAGCATAGAACAGTGGTGTTTGATATGAGGGCATCGATGAGTCAACGGGGCAGACCAAGACATACTTTGGGCAGATTGAAGAGATATGGGAAGTTGACTACGACAGTGACCTACAGTTAGCTATCTTCCGGTGCTAGTGGGTCATGTAAGGAAAATGGACCCTAGGCCCATTTACTCTGGATTTTGATGTTTGATGACCAACACAACCAAATTGGACTAATGAATTTACAAGTGATTGTTTTGTAGTTCAATAGGATGCAAGACGTGACTTGGACGAAGGCGACGTGATGATCTGATGATCAACACCATAAGCAAGACCCTAGGAGCACAAGAGAAGACCCAAGATATCAAGCAAAGTCCAAGCACGAAGATAGGAACCAAGCCGTATGCAAGATCGCGAAGAAACGAGCTCACAGAGGTGACCAGATGCTGGCGGAAAGCAACCGGACGCTCTGATCAAGAGGCTCGGCAACAGGCGTCAGCAGCAGCGACCGGACGCTAGACCAAACGCTGGCGGCAAATCGATCGAACGTAGGACAGCAGCGTCCGATCGAGTACAAAGAGGTTCTAGAGCGGCGACGTTGTGACCGGACACGTCCGGTGGCATGTGACCGGATGCTGCCAGCGTCCGATCAGTTGATCGCGACTTCAATGGTCGGGACGACCGGACGCGTCTGGTCAGGACGTGATCAGCGTCCAGTCAGTAGCAGAAAAGCAGGATTTTGTCCCCAACGGCTACTTTCTCAGTGGGGCTTATAAATAGACCCCCCCCCAACCGGCCATTTTAGGTGTGTGGAGCTGAGGAAACATATCAAGGGTGTTGATACACCATTTTAGTGATCTCCACTTGCATAGTGCTTAGTGATTCATTAGGTGATTAGCGTAGGTGCTTTGTGAAGTGCTTAGGTTGATTAGACCACCACTTATGCGCTTGCTCTAGGTTTAGGCCTAGTGTTTAGTGATGTTTGCATACCTCTTACCACTCGGTGCTTGCGCACACTATTGTTGTACATCGGAGGGCTTGTAGTCTTGCGAGATCACACCAACCGCGTTTGTGGTGTGACCG